GTGGGGGAGGGGAGGGGCGGAAGGCAGCGCTGGGTGGGTGGGAGGGGGAGCGGGTGCGCAGGGGAAGTTTGAATGGAAAGCGGGGAGCGCACGGAGGGACGGGGTGGATTGGGCTGGGGGCGAGTTGAAGGCGCCCTAGACGGGGTGGGGGTGCGGGAGATGGACGGGAGCCGATGGGGGAGGGGAGCACCCACACCCTGGTCTGCGACGTCGGCCGCGCCGACAACAGATGTTATTTATTGGAGCCTAGTCCCTGCTCAGAGGAGAGCTTCTTGGGCCCCTCCCTTGTGCCAGGCACGATGCCCGGGACTGGGCGGATACATCCCAAATGGGCCCGAACTCCCCTCTGGACTTTGGGCTGCCCTGGGGCTGTCTTGGGTTCCAGGGTTTAACTCCTTCACTGTGAGGGGGGCCTGGCCGGGCCCATTTCGCAGATGGGCAAACTGAGGCCAGAGGGCGAGGCAGCTGTTTGGGTGTTGAGCACGCCTGGGTAGATGGGTTGGGGATTGAGCGCAGGCGGTCAGCTTCCTCCGGGGAGGGGCAGGCTCTAGGAGAGGACGAGGCAGTGACCCCAGAATGCACAGTTCTCGGCCTGGTGTGCAGGGAGCTCAGAGGGGAGGTGGTCCTCGGGTTTGCTCCTTGTGCAGGCCGCCCTCTGGCTCAGTTAATGAACTGGGGGGGGGGGGGGGCGGTGGCAGGGAATCTTGGGAAACACACTTTGGCATTTTCAGTGGGACGTTGATTTTTAAATCTCAACCCGGCATCTCAACCCGGTGTAGTGGTGCGCGCCTGTAGTCCCAGCGCTAGGAGGCTGAGACAGGAGGATTGAAAAAGTTTGGGCCCAGTCTGGGCAATCTAGTGACCTAGTCAGAGCTTGTCTCAAAGTAAAATTTGAAAAAAGGGCTGGGATATAGCTCAGTTTGAAAGCCCTGTGAGATTCAGTCCCCAGTACCAGAGCTGGAGCTAGAGATGGTGACGAGGGGGAGGGGGACGACACTTGCTATGTTGCCAAGTGGGTTCTGAACTCACAGGTTTAAGCAGTCTTCCTGCCTCCTATCCCAAGTAGCTGGAACTGCAGGGACAGCCCACTGCACGTGGATCCCTTGGGCTCTGGTCTCTGTTTTAGCCAAGGGGAGGGTGTTAAAATAATGAAGTGACCAAGTAAAAGATTAATGGTCCTCATAACTTGCGCCCTGAGCAAGCTGTTCCTGAAACCCACAGCAGGGCCTCCATCCACTCAGGCAGTCTTTACTGAGCCCTGTTTTGTGCCAGGTGCCGGCTCAGGACCTGGAGACATCCTCCCCGCAGCCAGGCGCCCCCCGACCCTGCGCTTCGGGGGTTACACCTCCCAAACCACCTCGCATCGCGATGGATTTTCCTCTTGCCGGGAACAGTAGGATTTTCGTGGATCTACTGATTTCTGTGGCCCCTGTCTCCCCGCCCCCAGGTGTCACTCTGCGAGGGAAAAGATGGTTCTCGGTGGGGTTCCGTGGCCGCATTCCTGGTTCCTCGGGAAGGGTCTGACTTATGGTTGGTCCTCAATATTGAGTACACGGAAAGCTGGTAAAGACGGACTGGTCACCTTGACATAGTGGCTTGAGGGTTAGGAAGGGCACAGGAGGGGCAAGGGTACTGTGGTCAATACGGTCTCCTTTGTTTTAAACCATTTTGGACTGACTTCATGCGTGCGCGCTCTTGGAGCCCCAGAAATACCGGGGGATGCAGTACTCCTTTGCTACCACTAGGTGGCGGTGGAAAAAAAATCCCATTTTTGCCTTGAGACTGCAGGACTTGGGGACATAGGTTAAGTACTGTAAGGATAGCTAAAGACGGCAGTGATGCGGGAGCCCTGCCTCGAGGCCTGCTTTAGCTTCACGAAAGCCGGAGGAGGTCGGCAGCCATTTCCCACATGAAGAAACCGAGGCACAGAGGCGCTGAGTAACTTGCTTGTGTTTGCTCAGCTAAGAAAGGCCGACAAACAGAAAAGAAGCAACACACAAGCGACCAGTTGTCTGACCAGCCAGTGGGAAGGAAGATGAGCTTCGAGGCTGACGTCCCTCTCCCAGGGCTGGAGAGGACCCCAGCGGATGCCCGAGATCGCCGTGCCGTGGGGTGGCCCCTTTCCTAGTGTTCTTTGTCAATTTGACAGACATTTTCCCCCAGTTTCAACATCAAGACAAATGGTTTCTGCTCAAGGGGTGAGGTGAACTGGTAAACAAAAACAAAACTGAAAAAACAGACAATGTCCAGCTACTTGGGAGGCTGAGGCAGGAGGGTGGCAAGTGTGAGGCCAGTCTGGCGTTAGGGGTGAAATCTCTAGGTTCACCCGGAGGCCCAGGTTCTCAGGGGACCCGGAGGCGGCCCAGCCCATCCCAGTGGGCTTCGGTGCCGTCCCAGGTACTCGGTGTCTCTGACTTCTCCGAAGGGGTCCGGGTTCAGGTCCTCAGGGGACCTTTAGCTCAGCAGCCCGGGACAACACTCTCTATATTAATTAGTCAATTAAGTTTCATATTAATGGTATTCTGTATGATTTTGTACTAGCTATTTTAATGAGTTTATGTTCAACAGACATGTAACTGGGCACCTGCTCTATGCTTGGCTCAGGAAGCAGAGTAGGACAAAGTACCCTCACCCTTATAGCAAGGAAGAAAGACTCACAGGGAGTGAATTAACCAGGCCTGCAGCCCAGCCTTGTTATTCTCGTAGTTCTGTTCTTCAGTCATCAGTGAGCTCTGATTTAGTCCCGCTGAACCAGTGCTTCTAGGAGGAACACAGGATTAGTCTCTTTTGAATTATTTTTTTTTGGTTTTTCTCCGGTACCGGGAACCGAACTCACGACCTTGCGCTTGCCAGGCAGGCGCTTTTGCCGCTGAGCTAAATCCCCAGCCCCGGTTAGTCTCTTTTGTATGATACTGTAGCCTTTACAATGAGCCACATCCCCAGCTTCAAAACACTTTAAAATTTTTCTTTGAGACA